ATGGACATTGCTTGGAAATTTTTGCTGGAAACTCAAATCTCTGTCAAAATCTTACCCCTGAGTTTATTTGAGATCTCATTCCATTTCAGCATGGTAATTCCTGAAAAAGGAAAACGTGTTGTAATATAAAGTGGAGAGCAGTGATTTTGGACTGAACTATACTTCATATTGGGCAAGTAGTTTTATATAAAACAGATAAAAAACAAAAACAAAACAACAAAAAATAAACAAGGAAAAACTTAGGGCGGTACATTTTTAGTAAAAGCTAAATAGCCCTAGTTTCATTTCAATTTCATTTACAAAAAAAGCAATTTTATGAGATAGAAATGGAGAGACAAATCTTCCCATGGTCGCAATTAAATAGAAATAGATAAACTGTTCCTCCATATGGGGAATGCAAATACGACTCCACAGTACACATCACATGCATAATGCAAAGTGAAACCAGTAAGACATCTCACCTCCCAGTTTGGGATCGAGATTGCAAGTTGAGACTTGGCGGAATACACTGTGTATATCGAGTGGCTTCCATGGCAAGTGGCACATTGCTTTCATCTGTAAAAAGTATTTCCAAATACCTTGTAAAACATAAATGGAAATGATTAATCTACTCTATCCAACTGATTTGCATACATAATTTAAAGTTGCATCAGTTTCTTCTCTTTCCGGTGAAAATATCACATGATTCAAGTGAAACCAATTTATCCATCTTTTGCTGTTTCATTTTAATTCACTCAGAGGTTCCTGAGATGTTCACTGGTTTGTATTTAATTATGAGTTATTTCTAACTTGATGGAAATTGTTTTACTCAGTTATAGAAATTTCTTTCCTATGAAAATTAATATTTAGTTCCTAATGAAGACCAGCATTTTACCGTCAATCACTTATTAAGTTGTCATTACTTGTGATCTCATGATTCAGAAATACACTTAAAAAAATCAACTTTGTGTACCTGCATTATTCTCTATTAATAGAAACCTGAAGAATATCATACAGATCGCAGAGTTTGGAAAACTGAATTAGAAGCTTAATGAATTTGGCTTAAGGAATGAGAGATTGCAGCATCCATCTTCAAATTTTATACGTCCACTCATTAGATACTTAGTGTATTAAATATGATTCTGTCTTCCTGGTCACTTTAATCTGTTACCTGGAGCCTAATATTCATTTATATTTACCTGGATAAGGCTTTTATTTTTTATTTGCTGTTTACTTTACAGCAAAGCCTCATTTGGTTCAGCTCATAAAAGACGTGGAAATGGCTGTGGAGGAGAGTCTTTATTGGGAATGTCGGGCAAGTGGAAAGCCCAAGCCCTCCTACCGGTGGTTGAAGAATGGAGATGCCCTGGTTCTTGAGGTAAGACAGCCTGCCTGTCAATCTGCCCTCAGCCTGCTCTGTGTTACCTGAATGCTTTCTCTAGTTCCCACTACCAAAAGTGACTGGTGGTTTTCACTCTTTTCCTTTGTATCTCAGGAGTGGAATGAATGGAGAATAATAACCCAGTCAAGTACCCAGTCTGCCAATGAGAAGATATTTGCAACTTTGCATATTTTCATTGGCTAAGGGTGATTTGTGGTTTCGTGAACTTAGTCTATAAAATAATACACTATGCTTTTGGTATTGAAATCAGAGAAGGTCTTCCTTTAATCAAATATAGAAAGTTTTTCTGTTTTTCAACTTGTATGGCCTCTGGAGAATAATTGTATCTATTACTCGGTTGCCCTGTTACCTGAGCACTGATTTTCTGATTCACCTTCGCTCTCTAGCTATGTAATCTTGGCTCTTTTTTTTTTTTTTTAACTAAGCCAATTATGTTCCTTTGCATTTCTAGACATAATTATCCATACTTCTTTTAAAAACCCTGGTAAATATGTGTGTTTTCAAGAACACTTTTTATACAATAAACTTATAATTTTCCAACTCACACGGTTTTTAAAAAACTGTGGTGAAAATCTTTTCAGTTGATACAATGGAACATTCTTTAATGTCTGAAACTTTAACATGTGTTAAAAATAAAAGGACTTCCATATTTTACTTCCGGCTTTATTATTTATTTTACTAATGTACTTTGGGGCTGTATGATGCTTATTCATATTTCCAGTGTGTCTCTCAACTTTCAAAGAAGGAAAAGGTTCAATTTCAGGTGAGCCCGCTTAATACACTGAGGAAAAGGTAGACGTGTTGTGTCTGATTGAAATGGTAGTGAGTAGTGCTCATTTTTTTCTTCTAAAATTTTGCTCATGCGCAAGACATTTTTGTTATTGTCTAGGAGAGAATACAGATAGAAAACGGTGCCCTTACAATATCAAACTTAAATGTGACTGATTCTGGCATGTTCCAGTGTATCGCAGAAAACAAACATGGCCTCGTCTATTCCAGTGCTGAACTCAAGGTTGTCGGTAAGACCAATTTTCTCTGCTCTTCATTGTTCTTGAATCCTCCCTTCTTGTCAGAAACTGAAATATGTGCTTTACATATTGGATTCCTGCATCTAGTAACACTTAGAGTGTCAAACATGATTATTCAGGGTTTCTAACCAAAGCATGCATTTGAATGATTTCTAAGGAAAAGTAGTGATGAGGGACAAAATTAGAAACCAAAAGTTGAAGTAAATCCACAGAAGGAAGAAAGTGTTGGCCTGACCCATCTCTGTCCAGCTCCAGGTTTATGGTGAAGAAATGCTTCTTAACGCAAAAGTGATCTGGGCCTTTCCTGCTGATGGGCCATCAAAGCAAATACCGAAATTGGAATCAATACCATTTGATTGCAAAGGGGTTGCTTTTGTCTTATTCTCGTCCAATACTGGACATACTGAAGCCTTAATTAGCCAAGGTTTCACTAACTGAATCATGAATTCTTTTCTTCTTGTTGCACAAGATATAAGAGGAGAAATGATATGTTTTATCATGTTTAGGACAGTTTTCCCAAAGGACACTTACATTGCAAATGATGGAAAATTCAACATTTTATCCTGTTATGGCATAGCATAAAATAGGCAAGGAAAGAAGGAAGGGAGGTAGAGGGAGGGAATGAAAGGGGGAGGAAGGAAGGAGTTCATCAGTCTATGCAAGTTAAATGGAGACTGCAGATTTCAGCCTAACTTGATCTAGGGTGCAAATATCATCATGGGTATTAGGTTCCATGTGAAGTTTCCCAAGAAATTGAGTTTATTATCATAGTCAATCCATGGGGAAAAAAAATGATGGCTTTCTTAATAGCTTAAGCTCAAGCCATAGCCCTGCGGTCAGTGGCCTCAGGTAGCCTGATTTGAGTCATTATGCATCTATCTGCTTATCACTAACCAATCCTTATGGCCAGAGGGCAATAAGGCCCTGATGGGGTAGCTCATTGACTTTCAACAGAACACAGTCTTGCTCCAAAGTATATGTGGAAATGCCTGGAGATAGTATTGGTGGTTGTAAGTAGCGGGAGGGATGGGGCCCTTGTGTGATATTAGCATTTGGTGGACGGAGGACAGAGAGGCTGCCAGCACTTGTACAGTGCACAAGACTGCCTCTGCACAAATGGTTATCCAAGTGCTGTGCTCTGGAAGTCAGCAGAGATAAGTCCTAACCCCGTCTTCATGGGATGAGCTTTTAAAAGTTTTCTGTACTAAGTGATCTCCTTTAGTTCAGTGAGCTATTTTAAAGCCTTTACAGTCAATATTAAAAATTCCTACATAAAGTAATTGTTTCAAGATTTAGGGCCTGCCCCAAACACCATAGCACACATTTCTTTTTTAACAGTGAAACCCCGTGAGTGGTGCACCATAAATCAAATAAATCTGGTGCCAACATCATGCCTGTCACGTTAAATCTAAACACGGCTGTACTGTCAACCTTTCAGATTTACAGGAAGTTAAAAACATGATCCAGTGCTCATTAAATCGATGATCTCTCATTCTCTCTCTTCTTACATTCTTTTCAGCCTCTGCTCCGGATTTTTCAAAGAATCCCATGAAGAAGTTGGTTCAGGCCCAGGTGGGCAGTCTGGTGAGCCTGGACTGTAAACCCAGGGCCTCCCCCAGGGCGCTGTCTTTCTGGAAGAAGGGGGACACAGTGGTGCAAGAGCAAGAAAGGTATTCTCTTGTCCACACAAGTGGCCGCCAACTTCCTTTTCATATTCCGTAAGGTCACAGCAGGTCTTCCACATGAGCCTCAGTACCATAGCATCTCAGTGGGCCAGGAGGTGTTCAAGAATCAGCACAGTGGTAGTTTTGTTCTCTGATACTCTCATGGTGACAGTCGCATGTTGGTGGAGTCTAGAAACAGACAACCCCTCATCTAATTTCTACCCATATAGAAGGCTGTCTTGTAGCAAGGGGTTTCTTCCCCAGTCCTCTGGGGAGAACCAACCAGAACGGTAAAGGAGTGCCAGCCCCAGAAGCAAGGCAGCATCATGCAGAACAAAGAGCAGATGAAAACACAATAGACTGTGCAGAGATCTATACACACACACACACACACACACACACACACACACACACACGCTGCTGGCCCCTGTGCTGAATCATACACAACACAGGTGTTTCCTTTCAGCCAAGGCTTACTGGTTTGTATAATAGCATTGAAATGAAGAGGTAGAATGAGCTGAGTTAAAAGCACAATTCAAGAGCCCCAGGGCTGGCCTCGCATTTTCCTTCTGCCTTTTACTAGCTCAGTGAAGTGACCCCATCTTTCTGGGCCTCATTTGTTAGTGGAAATGATGACAGTTTATGTCTCATGTTGAGAAGATTATATGGACAAACTGCATAAATATTCATAAAGCACTGAGATCAATCCCTGGCAGAGAATAAGCATATGTCCTAGCCGTTATTACTATTTATTAAGTACTTACTATCTGCCAGATACTGTGCTCCCAGCTTGCGATAGCACAATAACAACCCCGAAGGGCCCGTGTCCATAGGTTGAAACCATGTGGCTATGTTACAGCAAGTGGTAAAAGGTAAGCTTTCAGATAGAAAGATTAACTTGAGTTAGTTGTATGGGTCCAAACTCACCTGAGTCCTTAAAGGAGGAAGAGGAGGACAGAAGGATGGCCAAGGAGATGTAATGTTCAAAGATGTGATGATCCCAGACAGATGGGAGGTACAAGAAGGATCATCATGCGTGTGGCTGGATTGTAGGTTGTAGTAGGCACCACTGGCACAGGAACAGGGCCTTGGCTTCATGACCTCCGGGGACTGAATTCTACCAACAGTCCCACGGAGCACAGAAGGTTCTAGAGCCTTGGGAAGGAGCTAGGCTCTGCTAACACCTTGATATTGGCTCACTGAGAACTAGACTGGACTTCTGACCTCCAGAACATTTGAGAATACATTTGCCTGAGTGTAGGCCCCAGAGTTTTCGGTAAATCATTACACCAGCAACAGGAAGCTGAGCACACAAATTATCTCCTTGAAACATTTCTGCAGCTAAGGAGAAAACCAGAACTTAGAGGGATTGTGTGATTTGCTAAAGTGATTCTTTAGTCTTCTCTGATTGACAGTCTGGGCTTTTTTGACTCTAGGGTGAAACCACTGAGCCTTTTTAGCCTCACTGTTTGTACAGGATTCCAGGATCTTATAGGTGATCTCAAGTGCTGAAGCAACTCCCAGTGATTACTTTTGAAAATGAGAAGAAAAAAAAAAAAACATGCAATAAAACCTTAGGACAACATACTCAGATCCCTTTTCTAAAATTGCAAAGTCCTTTTGCAGGCAACTCAGTTGAACTGCTTGTAGATTATGGGCCAAGAGATATTTTCCTGAGTCAGTACCCCACAGCATGTGCAATGCCACCATTCCTTGACAGCAGACAGCATCCTTAAAAGGCAAGCACAGGGGGACCAGGCAAAACTGGGACCCAAGTGGGTAGACCCAGTCCAGCCCAGTGCTGTGCCACACAGAAGAGATTGCTAGAACAGGAAGCTAATTAGTGATTTGGAGTTTGATTTTGTAAACTGGTTTCAATAGGACAGTATAAACCAGTTCCTTTGGACTGTGCTAGAAGTTAAGTCTTCTGAACAATTGCTAACTATGTTGTGGGGACATTTTAGTAGTTTGATTGCATACATGAATTAGAGAGCGATTATTTCCCCGGGACTCTGTGGGTTACACAACAATAAAGCCACTTGTCCTCACAGTAGTATACAGAGTAGGCAGAGGTTTTAATCTTAATTTTAAAAGGGGATTTTAAAAAGATTAAGAGATTTAGCTAAAGGCATAAAGGAGAGATTCACTCCCACAATGTACAGGGATGTTGTAAGTTCCGGAGTCTAAACTGGAATTTCTGACTTGGACATGTACAATCCTTAGTTTTTTTCATCTGTTAAATATAGGCAATAATTCTGAGCCTCACCTAGTTGTATAATATAAACCTTTAGCATAATGACATTGGTAGATATATTGATCATTAAGGGTGAGGTTATGCTACAAATAAAGTGTTGAAAGTAACATTGGCTAAAAAAGGAGTTTCTTGAGTGTTGTTTAGGAGTTCAGTGGTTCGTTGGTCTCTCTGAAGGTAGACATCAGGTCTGCCTCGACTCGGGTTCACACACATGCACCTACCCTCATGCTCTGCCACCATCCTCACCTCATGAACCAAGAAGACTGCCTGAGCTCCAACCTCGCACTGACATCCCAGGCAAACACAAGGAGGATGATAGAAATAGGTATACTTTCTCTATTTTAAGAGACTTCTCTGAAATCCCATATAGCATTTTCCCTTGTACCTTACTGATTATCAATTAGTAAATTAGTTCCCTGCTGTACTGAATAGCAAGAGAAGCTGGGAAGTTTGGGCTTTTTTTTCCCTTGGAAGGAAATGGCCCAATGAAGAACTAGGAGTACATTTTCCAGGAGAAAGGGGGACGTGCTTGCCACTGCAGCAGTGTCCCTGCTAAGGACAGATAGTTCTCTGCCCCTTCGGGCCGACTGTCCCTCCACTTAGCATTCTGTATGTCTAGCATCTCTGCTGCACATAATAAGGAGATTTTTCAGATAGGAAGGTAAAGTGAGGAGTAAGAAAAGGGTTTAAGGAGACGGTCCAAAGAGCTGCAGTCCTTCCCAGAACTATGGTTTGAATTTGTTTCTGTCTCTTAGACAGCAAAAGCATTGACGAGCCAGGGCCTTGATGCTCAGGGAGATGGCTGCTAGAAGCAATTACAGAACAACGTGCAGATCTGACTCTTCTCCAAGTTCAGGGGCAAGCAGAGTGGGCTGCAGCCTTCCCTTGGCTTGGAAGCCCCCTGTCTTTCCCTCTTGACTTGGACTGAGGCTCCAGCCAAATCAGGGGAGCTCATCAAATGCTAGATTTGCTGTGGTGGTTCAGCGTTGGGCTGCTCCAACTTATAAAGGCTGTTTCTAGTCTCTTTCAGGGGACAAGTGAATTCATTGGGGGACAAGTGAATTCCTTGATGCATTTGAGAATAGAAAGGAAAATAAAATTTTTGGTAAAATGTTTGAGTTATTTATAATAAGATTTGAAATTCATTTGATTTTTTTTTCTCATTAGTTAATTATTTTGATAGGCAAACTTGGATTCTTCAATGAATAAGAGATATACAATCAGTGGGAAGCCATATAACTGAGTGGCTGTTGAGAGAAAAATTCATTTTGATTAAGTAAACATTCTACTATCTATAGTATCATTCAAAGCCTAAGTCAGATTAAAAAAAACAAAGTTTGAATATGTCCTTTTTTGGTGGGGGAAGTTCCTTGAAAATAGATGAGAGATAGTGGAACAGAGGTAAGGATTGAAGGAAAGGAAAGGAAGGAAGGAAGGACAGGGAGGGGGAGAACTGCAGAAGAAATCTGATCAAACCTGTGAACATACCACAGTGAGTGCTGCCTTTGTTTCTAACCATAAGACAGGAATTTAAAAAAAATCTGCAAGTAAATAGAAGAATGACCAGGATTGTAAAGGAAGGCGAACAGGGGGAGGGAGGAGGGGAGAGGAAAAGGGAAGCACTGGGGTCTAATCAGAGCCACTTAATCCCATGCTTTATGATTGTGTCCGAATGAACCCCAATATTACGTAAAACTGTAATGAACTAATAAGAAAAAACCTTTAAAATTATGTCTTTTTTAAGCTATTTTATTTATAATCAATAAACTCTGCTTAAACTTCTTTATATGCATACAACCCAGCTCACAATTGTTCCATGTCACAAGATTGACAAGAAAGGACTTTTGCAATACTCTATAAAGTGACATGAATTACTTTTTTTATGAGAAGTGTCCACATATCACCTTAAAAGCTAAAAAAAAAAAATAGCCACATGCATTTAAAAAGTAGAATTAGAAAAATAATTTTCAATTTTACTATAAAAATAGGTTTGAGGAAAGGAATAAAATCCCATCTATGTAGCACCATTATCTAAAAATGAAAAAAATATATGATGTAAATTCATCTTTATACCTATTTGCTAAAAATAAGGAAGAGACAATATGATTCTTTTTGTATGTGGGAAAAGCAATACAAGAAGTTCAACTTTTTTGCCTAAAAGGTAGTGATCAGCAGAGATGAGATCAAAATTCTATATGGAGCTTAAAACACTAAACACTATTCTCTTAGAAGCATTCTCTATAATATTTAATCAGCATAAACGAGGAAGACTACTTTGAATTTCTTTGAATGTTATAATCATTGACCAGAATCCTGGCTTTATTTACTTATCAGTAATATATCACACCTTTATTTTAATTACTTATTTAACATGTCTTCCCTGCCAGATGACAGATCCTGGAAGACAGGAAAAGTGTCTGTAGAAACTGATTTATATATATATATATATATATATACACACACACACACACATACATACATATATACACACATATATATATAATCATTTAATACATAACATATAGTATATATTGACATATTTTTATGAATTATGTAATTATATATGTACTATATATAATTAATTGTTATGTAAGTCACATAATACACCTGAGTGACTATAATCCACATGTTTTTAAAGTTTTTATATCAGCACAACAACAGCTTTGAAATTACAAATCAGCCATGGAAATTGGATCTAAGTCAGTGAGTCACTTACATTCCTGAATTGCTTTGGAGAAACAAGGGTTGTTGCTCTCAAGTATGGAGAGGATGTGAGTTCTGTTGCAACAAGTGTTCCTGCCCATCGGGTCCTGAAAATGCTGTTCTGAATAGACACCAGGGCATATAGTGCAAACAGTGAGTCCTGAGCTCTTGGAATTATGTTTCTGTGCATTCATTTGGAAATTCTTTGAGTACCTACTTCATGGGCCAGGCACTAGGTATTTGCTTTCTGTCAGAGAAGGCCACACCATCATTTGCAGCTTTTCAATGTACAGCCAGGTAGCACAGGACGGTTACAGTAAAATTCAGTTTGCAAGGTTCTGGATATGCAAGGCGGACATCTGCACAAGCATTCTGGAGAAGACTGGAAAGATCCTGGGGTTCTTGGGAGAAGAATTCTCCAGGCCAAAGAAATAGCAAGTGCAAAGCACAAAGGCCAGGCACAGGATAAAGTCAACAGAATAAAATAAAGGTAGCAGCAGGCTTATCAAATCAAATTTATGTTGGAGAACGGGGACCAGGGCAGCAGTGGGTATATTGGAGTAGGTGGAACCCCAGTTAGCAGCCCTCCACCAGCCTGCACACATGAGCAGAACAGACAGAGCTAACCAATGGAGGTGGGATTGGAATGAAGCTTCTAGGAGTCTGAGAAGAGCTTAATGCTATAGGACCTACTCACTGATTAGACTTGAGAGAGAGCTAGGCATGGGGGTGAATCCTGGATTTCTGACTTGGGCATCAGGCATTGTGGTGGACCCATTCATTGTGACAGGGAACCTCCCCAGAGATGAGGGAGTAGGGCTAAATTTGCTGAGCTCCATTTGGGATTGGTTGATTTTTAAATTGCATGTTGAAAAGTGAACTGTGTGTGTCTCCATCCATCCATACACACACCTACCATATCATCACCTTTGTGCAGGGTGGGGGCTTAGTGAATGTGGAACTTGGGCGTTAGGGCTGCAGGCATCACAAACGTGGAGATGGCAGTCAGTGTGTGGTTGTGTTGGAAGGTAGATGTCACTAAGTGGCTTAAAGTATGCATTGTACCCCTGAAGCACTGCACACTCAGGTTTTAACTAGAGAGACCTGTTTTTTTGCAAGCTCAGTTAGTAATTGATTATTAAATAATCTGAAATTTCTAGCATTCAGGATTGAGCAAAGACCATTTTTGGATTTTCTTTCCTTTGTGTTTGCGTCTTCCGTTATTGAGTTACATTTCTGCA